TTACGAACAATCGATAATTCGGTGAGACCAAACACAAACAGCAGTTCGTTCGCAGGCCAGTTTGTTGAAATGACCAGGAGAAGCAGATGTAGCTCCCTGCTGAACACGCCTGATTTCTTCGTTCTTGTTGGAATTTCGGGAACATCGAAGAGTCTACAAGAAACTGTTTTTGCAAGTGTTGCTGAATTCTTATTCGTACAGCATAACAACCATCAGAATTGTTTGATGAAAAGTTTGAGCCGGTAGTGAATGTCATCTTACGATTTCAAGCCTTGGCAATAAGAAGTTAGTGCGAATTATACCACCCTTATTGATTTTTTTCGTGGACGGCATTGACTTAGACCGTGATGATGGACGTCGTTTTCTAAGGACTGAGCGCTTCAGAACTACCTTTCGGCCTCCGGGATGAGTGAACATCTTGCCTGTTGAATTCAATGACTGAAGAATGGGTGGCACTGTTCTCGGTCAAGGTGAACTTCACCCCACTGCGGATCAGAATAGCCGTTTGGTCCTAAGAACCCGCGACGTCACGAGTCTCAATCACCCTGGACATGTGTCAGATGAGCAGTGCTCACAAAGATTAACAGTCGTATCATGTATTTTCGTCACATAGAGACCACAAGCATAAGGCAAAATCTCAACGTAATCAGTAATTTATTTCCAGACAGCTCGGCAGAATGGTGACTTATAGTCGAGATATCCCTAATTAGACCTCTAGAACTCCGGAACACTTCCTTACCCGAAAACGGGGGCACACCGCGTCCCCTTCAATTCCTAACACAAAGTGCAAACTCATTCGGTGGCATCAGAAAAACAGAATGTACGGTGGGGGGGGGGGGTAAAGAACCTTCTACCAACACATATGGATGTGTTTGAGAGGAAGTCATGATTGAGTGGAGCATTGTAAAATGTGTAACATTGAACAAAGCATCATTCAATCAGTTGGAAGTGCGAAATAAAATCATGATGAACGAGATTCCGATTCTTAGTGAGGCAACTGGTTGGCCAACTGATACCAAGATATTTTGAAGCCGAACCACCGGATGAGCACCAATCATAATTTCAAACGGTCCACTTTGATGTTGTGAGTTGTCACTTCGGGTATTGTGCCGAAGATCAATCAGAGATATACGATACTTACGCGTGCGTATTTACAGACCAATACCAACACGTGGTGTCGTGTTTCTGAGGTTTCTTCATGCTCATACACAAACGGAACGCCAGGCTCACATTAGGCGGTCCACCTGCGTTTTCAAAGCTTGTCTATCAGGACATCCATAGCCACATAGATCCAGCCGAGAGTCACTCGCATAGGCTTAGCCACCACCATACCGAAAAGAGTCGCTCTACAAATAAACGAAACATCGCTGGAAAAGAGAACCGGAAAAAGGACACTTTTCTCTTCGGATGGCAAGTAGTTCGAGTGAAAACCAGTGATTCGTCAATATGGTTTACTGGACACTAAATCTCATGTCTGTAATATGGTAGCCACCGTTGATAGAATCTTGCATCTGCAGGGAATTAAAATGTACACATCCTCACAGGCACAACTGGTTTCGCTCTGAAAGGCCATCAGACGTGTGGTTGAAGAATGAGTGCAATTGATCCTGTTCGGTTGTGAAGCATCAACACTGATGATCAACCAGTCGTGGTTAGAAGATACTGTCTTAGGTGCTAGACAAAATTTCACTGGTTCGAATCGTTCTGGACATTACTGAGACAAGCACTGCCCATGCTTTCAACGAATTTGAGGCGTTTTTCAGGGTTTTTTGCTTTTGCAGTACAGAATGACGTCACTCCAAGCATGAAATCTCCATTTTGAATCCCAACTGATTCCAAGGACGTAACGGTGAATATAGGAACACAAAACGGAGATCCATTAACGGGTCATCTGAGCCCGTGACGGACACACTTTACAGTCTGGCACCACATATTGGCAGGGAAGACAGAGCTATCACATATCGTACGACGCATGGGTTAGACAATATTATACTGGGCCTGTGATGACACAGTAACCTGCTGCGGCAAACATCTGCGTTCGATAAAGCTGGATCACATACCTGAAGATGTGTACAATAACAGATGGAGTTTTCGAATGCCATTGTTTGTCAAATGTCACCATTCATTGAAGATTCCCCTTCCGTGAGGAAATACGGATGCGTGAAACAAGACTGCCGCTGAATAGTACGCACACACAATGAAATATGGATGTTAACGGTTAGTGAACAAATCTATAAATATCCCGAAAAAGATGAGGAAATCAGTGTCTATATCTCCGCGTTTCGTCGTTCAAAGAGGTTAAGGACAAATGCGTTGATCGTACTGGGTAGTCAAACAGATCCGCTAAGCCTCAGGGGAAGGAATATGTCACATCACGAACATTTTTTTGCTCGAATCTCTACTCTGGTCTCTCGACTCGGTCATCAGATTCTGAACACTATTCCAATGAAATATTGTACGAGGTGAGGAATTTCCCTCAGCTTCTAGGCAACATCGAACAAGATGGACATTCAAAAACGGTTTTTCACTCAACAATGGACAATGTTGGTAGTATGAGGAGATCTAGGTTTGCTGTGGAGACTTCGTCCTGTAAGTGAAGTCAATCTATGCTGAAAAGCCGAGAAGCACTGTACAGCTGTTTCATCCATATTGGGAATCATCAGCAGTGCGCATCTCACGAAACTCCGGAGAGTCTCAAACCCGAGATCTCCCAGCTAGTAGTTCTATACCTCCACAAAAATCGCTTAAAAATTCGCTTAAAATCGCTCCAGTTTTGGTGTGAATACTCTTTAGATTCCGGCGACCCGATGAAATGTGAGCAGCAAGACCCTTTTGATTAGAGTCGGTATTTCTATTTCAAGATTTTATTGGTTATATGCACAACAAACCAACAGAAACAGAGGCGTAGTACTCACTGTACAGGCACCTAGGTTATAAATTGAATAACCGATCAAGCGTGTGGTTTTACCATACACAGACGTTATAACAGTTAACATTCAAGTATGCTAAGCCCACATTGTACACTCAAGTCCACCATCTACTCTGTGGATCAAGCAAAAACATCAGTGTATATGGATCTGCAACACTGACTGGTACGCTTCTACCAGTCCTGTAAGTAGTTTGGATGGGAAATGACTATAGCTGAGTCTAAAATGAAAGCCCAATTGTATACTAGGCGGTGCGGCTGTCTAGCTCAGTGCAACTGTGGAGATCCACTGGCCCCACCCGAATAATGTAGTTGACAGCCATTTATCTGATGATGAGTTTCACGATCACCGGTGATTAATCGGCCCCAAAAATAGAGAAAAATCATCCCAAATTCTCAATAGGTCGGACGACGTTTGCACAGAAACGAAATGACAAAACTATTCTTTAACCTGATAGTTCATGAACGTCAATGAACTATTTAGACTGATCTACCTGGAGCGCAGGATGTAGTACGAAAGTTGTAGTCCCGCAATACTACTGATAGAATGTGAGTATGGATGACGCATTTCCAGGTATTTCTAGAGACAGTATTTCAACTACTGGGAGAAGGTTTGTTCACATTTCCGTCTGCATTTGCCTCTAGCTGGCTAGGTAAATTCTGATCTCTTGCGAATTGTTTGAGGTGAGTAGGGATTTCCCGCACCTAGGGATGCTGATATGCGCTTCGCTGCGAAATAGGATGTTATACACACAAACATCTTGCGAAATTCTGATTTATTCACATAAAGTAAAGCCACGTCCAGTTCCCATCAAATTTCAGTTAGGCATTTCATCCTATCAACTTGACTGGAATAAATTCGATCAGTATTTTACCTGTGCCACCCTCCCATGTGTCCCAGACTCCTTTTTACGATCACAAGGTTGGATCGCGAATTCCGGGATACGTGACAAGTTTAGTCTCCGAAATCGTGTGTTCAGCGGTCTCCGCACATGTTTGTTCAGGCTTGTAGTCGAGCGCTCCGTGTTGATCATGCTATCCAATTGAACGTAAGGCCACAGTGGGAACGCAAATTAGTATTTCATCAAAATATTTCTTACTGGCGTCATTATCCTCATCTTTTTTGTACAAATGCCAAAGCTACCTCTGCATATGAACACCGATCTACATATCACTCTTATTTAATACATATTGAATCCAAATGGAACCAGACTTGGGAAACTCAAGGCAAAAATACCGAAGGAGTAACAGATTCTGTAAATCAAATTCATTGGGTGGCTAGAAACCTCACCAAGCTAACTGAAAACCTGTTAACTAACGAGGCATATTTGCCAGTGAATGTGTTTTACATCTTGATGAGAAGCCGGCTGGCGAAAATGTGGGGGTCGTTTTGAGGAAACATACTTTCAGATGGCCATATACGGTGAGAACGGCGTAACGCTTGATGACGTAAGGAGAATAATAGGACTTTTCACACGTTTCCTGACCTTTGATCATTGGGTATCTGTTGTAACTGTATTTTCCTCAGCTTAGTTCTCGGTCTGAGCCTCCCAAGCTAGCGTTCACGTCAAAACAAACACCAAAGGTGCACAAAGGTCTATTAACGCCCAAAACGTAATCAGGAACAGTTGTACAGCGCTTCGTATATATAGCGTAAGCGGCTATAACTTTCTGGAATTTCTGACACGTTCTGGAGCTCCATTGGCAACCGGCATTTGGCCAATACTGGGT